CAGATTCCATCCCCGTTGCCATCTCTGCCAACGGCTCCAGCTTCATCACGCCATCTGTAAACTCTGACTTGGCCATGAAGCGGCATCTACCCAACCTGGCCAGCATAGGAAAGTTAGAACATGTTGGAAAAATGAACCAGATTGCACCAGAAAATCACAGGGGTAGTACATGTCTCAATGTCTCAATCAAAGGATTCAAACGCTTTTCATGCTTCGGTTTTCGGACCAGTCAATGCAGGTGGATGTTCATGCAGCAAACTCTCCTATCCAACTGCCCACTGACTGGGTGATGGAACTGGTCCAACTTCTCAGAGAAGCAGAGAGTGTTGAAGTAGTTGGAACGCCTCGCGGCAAAAAATGTCCAAGCCCTGGGGGATCCTCGCGCGTTTTCGCGCCATGCAGCTATGATAGCTATGTGCAAGATCTTTACGGCATGAATCTCTCTCCTTTTTCTTGTGCAACCAGGTACAAGTAGTATGAGCATCATTCTGCAAGGAATCATTCTACACGTTTCTATACTACACGAATAATATCAAATGATATCAAATAATATCAAGTATATGCGTGTGATCATGACACGTTTACAACAGGTGCCTCAGAAAATTGTGGGTGGCAAACAAGAGCCCCTTGGGTCCCGCACCCAGCAGAGGCGCGGAGGAAGGACCTAAACATGGCGAGGGCCTTGGCTGCGAAGTGTCTCAGGAACAGACCTGTGAAAGAGTCGACAATTGTGGTAAATCATGGTAAATCTATGGGGAAAATGTTGGCAAATTTATGATCAGTGGGCCCAGCCCAGGTACATTCAGATATTTTGAGGTTCTTCTATTGGAAGCGAAATTATGCTGTTGCATGTTCTTGGAGGCTGTAGAAAGAGGAATTTGCAACGTAGGTAATCCGGACGAACCTCAGAGAGCAAGAACCAAAGTCAAATTTATGCTGCTCAAGAATGGCTCGATTACATGCATTGATATTATTGCTGAGAATTTTACTCAAGCAAATTCAAGTTCATCAGAACCTGGTAGAAAGCTGTTCTTCAGCCATGAAATCTTGGCAACTCCCGACCACATATCCTGTGTCACCACAGGACAACAATTTTGCGTCCCAAGTTTTGCCCATTGAGTTGGGCCATCGCACCACCTGTAAGTTCTTCGCAGCTCCAAAATTTTTAGGGCGGCCTCGAGCCAGCCCAGCTGCTGCCGCGCAAGTCCATGTCCACGGCGCAGCTTCGCAGGAAAACATGTTGGCTGTCCATGGAAACCAACATGTTGAAATTTAACATAAATGGATATAAATGGGGTAGCAATCAACCTGCACAACTCGTGATGCTCATTCTTGGAATTAAACCATCTAACGCCGCTAAAAGCACTGGGACACCAGCTGGTTGTTGGTACCCAAAATTCAACTATCTCAGCCGTTGAGGATCATCCTTCATACCAGGGATGGAAGTTCAAAAAAAACAAAGAACATGACATGAAAACGTTGGAAACATATGAAACCACCAACCCTGATTGATCTGGAGATGAACAGCGATGAACAGCGACTCCTGAGCCGGTGCCCCAGCCAGGACCGATTCGGAGAGTTTGGTCGAGAAGTGCAGTCGTGCCTTGGAAAAGATCAACCAAGCTGCACAAGCATCGCATCTTTGACTCATAAATACTCATAATATATCATAGAAATTCATAGAATGCCTATCGATATTTTTCACTATCGTCTATGTCATTACATCAGTCTCATGGATCCAAAGCAACTCCCAAAATATCGATGCATATCGTCATATTATAATTGGGTAAAGGTTTCATAGTGGTTCATACTATATATTCAAGTAATACGGATGTCAGGTGTTGAACTGGTGTCAATATCCTGTTCTCATCCTCGTCTCTTGCCGGGGGGGTGGAACCACAAAAAAATGAAATAAAATGAAGGGGCCTCAGGACAAATGCCAATAAAATGAGAGGGCATAAGGTAAGATAGGAAAACCCAAGCAAAATACAATGGACGGGTACAAAAATAATATGACGTCAGGCCCCCTCCACCTGGCAACTGTTGGACCTCGGGCTCCGGCATTTTCTTTTGGGTTGATCTTGTTTCCTTATTTAATTGGTTTTAATCATCGTTGAAGGAAAACCACCAAAATGGCAAGACCCAACCTCATATATCCCAGTATCTGCGGATTCGACCAAATATATATATATTATATATATATTATGAAACCACTGCCTATTCACATGTGCCTGCCAGGGTCACCAATTCCACCATGTACTGCAGCCGGGGGTAGGCTCAATGCCTGCGTGAAGGTGGGAGGGTTTTGCGCTTGAGCAATAGGCGCTATCAGCGACGCTTAGCGGAGAACCTTGTGGATATCACATTGGTTAGGTGCAGATCTGAGTGGCGTAGTACGGGGAAAAGACGCAGCAGCGTTTGCAGTTGCTCAGCAGGGCTGGGCTGGAAGCGGTTGGACAGCTACCTTTGTCAGTTTGACATTGGTAGCGGAGCCCTGGCGCTCAACAGGGCCAGGCTCTGAAGAGGAAATCATTGGGCATGAGCTCAATAGAAGGTGCAGGAACAGAAGGATCAGGCGGAGGAGTGTCTCATCAGCTGGCTACCTTAGTCCCAACGTTTGACCCGGCAGTTGATGATGTGACCACATGGTCCAACAAGGTGGAACTACTCTTAGCTGCATGGCCTGAGAGCAAGATCGTGGAGCTGGCGACGAGGCTGATACTCAACACCAAAGGATCAGCTTTCCAGAAGCTTCCACTCAAGCAGAAGGAGACCCTATCAATGACCCGAAAGGGATTCAACGTCTGGTAGAGCTAGTGGGAGGTACCTGGGGTCAGGTACCTTTGGAAAACAGGTATGAACTGGCTGAGAAGGCGTTGTTTCGGTGCCAACAAAAGGCGGATGAGTCAGGGGATTCCTACATATAGCTCGTGTTGATGTGGTATGGACGGAACTTTTAGCCAAGTCTCTCAGTCTGGAACAACTCATGGCCTATGTGTTGCTGCGAGGGAGTCGTTTGAGCGCAGAAGACAAAAAGAGGGTCCTGGTAGAATCAGGTGCCGAAGGCACTTCCAAGACTTTGGAATGGTCCAAACTGGTGGCCGCAATCCGAATGCTGAGTTCCAATTTCTTTCAGGAATACACTGGAGGGAAACGTGACAAGTCTCAGAAAACCTATGATCACATGGCTTTTGCTACTGATGAGATAGGGGATGAAGAACATGAGGAAGAAGTTTTCTGGACTAGTGATGAGATGTTGGATGAAGACACAATTGCAACTCTAGCAAGTGAACATGATGAAGATGCCAACATGATTCTCCAGTTTGAGGACGCCATCACCGAAGCTGTACAGAATGACACAGAATTAGCAGCTTTCTTTTCATCGTATCAAGATGCCAGAAGGCGTCTGACAGAGCGAGTGAAATTCCGAGGGTTTTGGCCAGTGAAGAAGTTTGGAAAGAGCTCAGGCAAGAAGGGTTCCAAAGGTGGTCACAAAGGAGGACGCATGACTTTGGCACAGAAGATCGCAAATTCGAATTGCCGCATCTGCGGCAAGAAGGGGCATTGGAAATCGGAGTGCCCAAAACGAGGCAGTGGTCCTCCGGGTAGCTCACCAACAGCCAGCACCAGCATCCCTACCTCGGTTGTCATCACCGATGACCTGCCTGCCTGGATGGAGATTCCCGTGCTGCCTATTCCGGACTCTCAGCATGATAATGGGGTTGAAGTAGCCTTTGGGGTAAGTCATTGGGAACAATATCAAAATAGATGGGTTAAGAGGGGTAAGGATACGGGGATAGACACGGCCAGCCTGACCAAAGCCATTCGTGACTCTCTCAGGAAAAAGATGTCTCTGAGCCGTAGCCCAATGATCCGACCAGTGCAGACTCCGAGCCCGTCCAAAGGTAGTTGTCCCAACCATCACACTGCCAGTCCGAAAGCGCCACTGAAAACTGAACATCCGAGCATTTGTGATGTCCATTTTGCATCCTCAGGCACTTCCGGAGTTGTTGATTTGGGTGCTTCACAGACTGTGATTGGCAGTAAACAGGTGGTGGAATTGCTTGAAGGTTTGCCCAAAGAAATTCGACGGCAGGTTCGTCGGGAACCATGTCACTTGGTGTTTCGTTTTGGTAATCATCAAACGTTGACCAGCAAACAAGCACTCTTGTTTCCACTGCATGATCAATGGTTTAGGATTGCTGTCGTCCCTGGGCCCACACCTTTTTTGCTTTCAAGTACGTTCTTGAATCAAATTCGTGCGGTGATCGATACCGAAGCTGGCACCCTATGGAGCAAGATGTTGAAGAAACAGCTGATGTTAGAACGCACTTCCAAGAATTTGTTTCTGATGGACGTCAATCAATTGTGGGAGCCAACAGCTACTGCATGCCTGACAACATCCGTTGGTTCCGATGAGTTCCAAAACCATGCTGCTGAGACGCGATGTCGTGGTGTTCATCTAGGAAACCAACGTGAGAGGAAGGATTCTCAGCCATCATGTCTTGTCATGTCCAAAGGTATCCCAGGTGCCATGAGGTTGTCCACTGACACACATGACTATGTACAAGATGTACAAAGCGATCGAGAGAAATCGGATCTAAGCAGTAGTGAGCCTTGTGACCGTGTCCCGTCCTGCAAGAGCCATGTCCAGCTTGGCCTCACAGTTCAAGGCGTTCAACAAAGCCAGCAGGAGTGCCAACCAGACAGCCAATCGGGATGCCTTGCAAACCATGACATTGGAGGAGCTCGAGACCGAGAAGATCGCCTTTGGGGAAGCCAAGAAGGGAGTGATGTTCAAGGATGCCTTCTTGGACGATCGATGGACAGAATTCATCCTCACCAGGTTCGAGAAGAGCAACAAGCCGGAGCACATGATGTATGTCCGGTACGTGTCCCTTCGAATGAAGCAAGGTCGGATTCCGGAGACAAAGAATGCCAAAGAGGGCACCAAGACTCCGTCAGAGCCGGCGACAGTCCCATTCGATGTGTGGACCGAGATCCAAGACCCAGAGCCAATGAACATGATCTCGTGCCACCCAGCCGAACTTGTGGAGGACATGGGAATGCTGCGCCAGGAGAACCAGAACTTGGCACATCGCATGGGTCAGGTCGAAATGATGATGCAGGAAGTGCTGGACCATCTCCGTCGCTCCTCTGTGAAGACCGAGAACTGAGCTTTCTGACCGACGCCGAAGCTCAAATTTTGAATGATCTAGCCTTTTGTGAACAACAGCTTCTGAATGCTCAGGTTGATATGGACTATGATTTCCAGCCGGAAGTCATTCAACACAGTTTTCATCGCACATGTCAACGGTTCACAAAGCAATTTCAAGCTGAGTTCCATGCAGTCGCCAGAAAACTCCAGGGTAAGAGATATCAGGTTCAAACGCCAAAGCTTGATGTGCTGGAAATCATGTGTTCTTCCGAAAGTGAGCTAGTGAAACAGGCTGATTTGCTTGGTGGTCGTGCTCGCCGTTTTGGATTGGCTGAAGGCGATTTGAACACTATCTCCGGCCGTGCAAAGCTGTTTGAATGGTTGATTTTGTATAAACCTGAGCATGTCTGGTACAGTCCCGAATGTGGTCCTTGGGGAAAGTGGTCTCAGTTTAACATGGGAAAGTCATTACAGGGTCTTGCCGAGGGGATGGAAAAACGCCGAGCCAGCCTTTGGCAAATTGCCTTAGCAGTGGTGCTGTATCAGTATCAGTCTGGCCGCCAGAAGCATTTTCATCTGGAACAACCAGATGGGTCCCACATGCTGAATCAGCCCAGTTTGCAGGAAATTCAGGCTGGTACCCAAGAATGTTGTTTTGACTTATGCAAGGTGGGAGATTTGACTGATCCAGAAACACACTTGCCCATCCGAAAGCGCTTGCGAGTTCTCACGACGTCCCAGGCTCTGTTCCTTGCCATCCATGGTCGCATGTGTTCTCAAGAACATGAACATCGACAGATTGCAGGTAGCACCACTTTCAAGGGCCAAAGAGTGGCACTATCAACCTTTACGGAATGGTATCCCAGAAAGTTTGCCCGACAGGTTGCCAGAGTTCTGCTACAGAGCATACACAAAGAGCATCCCATATATGCTATCAGGGCTGAACCACCTCATGAAGAAGTCTCGGAACACCCAACCAAAAAGAGAAGACTTCGGTCCAAACTGAGCCCTGCGGACATTGCCCTGCGTTTCGCCAGTGTCAATTGGCAGACAGTCATGGAAATGACTGATGAGACCGCTCCTCGTGTAGGTCCCTTAGTGTTAGAAAATGGCAGTTTGTTTGAGAAGGTGCAGCAAATGTTTCCCAATCATCGTGTTGTTCACCTGGTTCTTTGCCGCGGAACAGATAGATATGTAGGACCCACCAAAAGCATACCAAAAGGGGTAGCTCCTCTCCGGAAGAGGATATGTATCCGTCGTCGTCATGAAGACCTAGATGTTGATGAGGAATGGGAAGCATGGGAGAGATTAACCTTCAAGGGGTTGAGACGGAAAGGGGTTCCTGCAAGAGTCAGCCTGACCATTTTTGCTGCTGCCAAACTGCCTGACCAAAAAGGGATCGAGATGCGGGCTTCTCAGACTCCGTCTTCTGCCGACATGCCACAAGCTCATGATGTTCCCGAAGCTGAATTGCCAGCAGCAAAGCGTGCACGACAAGATCATGCTGAGGAGCCGATAGTGAACCCAGAAGCCATGAATAACCCTGACCGAACGGTAGTGGACTTGGCCTCACAGAAACATGGTCCCAAGTTTGTTGCGTTGAAACCGGAGACTCAAGCATGGTTGCTGAAAGTTCACAGGAATCTAGGTCACCCTGGTGCCCAAAAGTTGGCCACCTTTTGCAAGCAACTTGGTTGTCCTGATGAGATGGTGCGAGCGATCAGCGACTTGAAGTGTTCAACATGTGTGGAAAATGCCGTTCCAACCATTTCTCGTCCCAGCGCCATCCATGAAGAAAGTGACTTTGGGGATGTTGTTTCCATAGATGGGGTAACATGGACTAACAGAAATGGTACTCAGTTTCATATCTATCACATGTTAGATCAAAGTACTTTGTATCATACCGCCGTTGTCGCTCCAGCTCACAGTGCCGAACAGGCCATACTGGCCTTGAATCGAGGATGGATGCAATGGGCAGGGCCGCCAAATTTGTTGTGCATGGATGCCGGTACAGAGTTTAATTCGGAGGAGTTCATGGGGTTTCTTCAGAAACATGGTATCCGACACCGAACCATTGCCACTGATGCTCACTGGCAAAATTCTAGGATAGAACGTCATGGTGCCATCCTCCAAAGCATTCTGTCAAAGATGGATACCGAAGAAGCGATTGGAGACCATGCTAGCCTTGAGGTTGCAGTGTCTATGGCCATGCACACCAAAAATCAATGGAGTAGACATCGAGGTTATTCCCCTGAAATGTTGGTGTTTGGGAAAGCCTCAAAGGTTCCAGGATCAGTCTCCTCCGATGAGAGCTCAGCCTCGCACCTCACAGCCAGCAATCCCACACCAGATGGATTGAGATTCCGAGCTGAACTGGCCGTTCGTGAACGTGCCCGAAAGGCATTCTCGGAGACTGACAACAGCCAAGTGATCAGAAGAGCGTTGGTTCAACGCAGCAGGCCGTTCCGAGGCAATTTCATGCAAGGGGATCATGTGATGATGTGGAAGAAAAAGGGTGAAGCCAATGGAACATGGGTAGGACCTCTCAGGGTTATTATCCAAGAAGGAGCTCAAATTGTATGGGTGACCATGGGACAAAAGTTGCTTCGAGTAGCCCCAGAACACCTCAGACCAATGTCAGCGGTTGAAGAATGGAAGGGACAGCACACTGACAATCCAAAGTCATTTCAATTTATCTCCCCTCATACAACAAGCAATAATTATCAATCAATCTTACCACCACATGGAGGCACTCAATACCACAACCTGACCGATGTCCACGCTGAAATTCCTGCTGACGCCACTACGCCGGAGATCCCCTCCGGAAGTGCCCCTAATCCAGATCATAACTCCCAAAATAATTTGCCCAGACCCAGTCCTTCTAACCAATCCGTAATTTCCATCAACTCAGACCAACCTGACCAAGAACCGAATCCAAATGATCCCAATGCACCAATGCCAGGGGTTATGATCCCAGATCCCAATGTACCAGTCGAAGTACCGGTACCTGATGCCGATGATGACTTGTTTGCCGAAGCCGAGAGGGCATTCCATGTAACTGAAGACCAAGGATGGAAATTTGAGGTGAACATCAGTAACTATGACATCCACAAATGGAGAGAAGAAACAAAACCTCAAGAAATGGCCTTCCTGGTCTCAGCGGCAAAGAGACAGCGCAGTGAGGTCAAGTTAACCAACTTGACACCGGAGGATCGTGAAAAGTTTCAGCAAGCCAAATTGAAAGAAATCAATAGTTGGATCACCACTGAAACAATTGCTAAGATCACTCGAAATAAGATTCCCCGGGAAAATGTCATGCGCTGCAGATGGATCCTGACATGGAAAGAAGTAGATGAAGCCTCATCCACCAATGTATCCAAGAAGTATACCCCAAAAGCCAGATTAGTTGTACTTGGTTTTGAGGACCCTCAAGTTGATGCCATTCCGAGAGACTCCCCGACAATGAACAAATTGTCACGCACCATGATTCTACAAGCAATGCCTGGGAGATTCAAAGCTTTGACATCAAGACTGCGTTTTTGAGGGGTAGTGAACAGGATAATCGAATGTTGGGAATGGAACCTCCGGAAGAAATGCGTCAGAGGCTCAAGTTGAAACAACATGAGGTTGTCCAGTTGTTGAAAGGCGCCTACGGGCGAGTGGATGCACCATACCTTTGGTTCAAAGAGCTGCAAGGGGCCTTGTGTCAGTTAGGTTTCATTCAGAGTCCGTTTGACCCATGTTTGTTTACCCTTCCTGATCCGTCCACGCATGCCACCATAGGAATCTTGGGTATCCATGTGGATGATGGATTATGTTGTGGATCACAATTGTTTCAACAGAAGCTGAACCAGTTGGAGCAGAAATATCCTTTCGGATCAAAGAAAAAGAATGAATTCACGTTCACAGGCCTGAAGATCCAACAGAAACCAGATTACAGCATCGAAGTCAACCAAACACAGTATGTGAAGGACATCGCTGCAATCACTCTCTCTCGAGACCGCCGTTCTCAGCCTGAAGATGTAGTTTCAGAACAGGAGCGACAGGAGCTCCGAGCACTGATTGGAAGTTTACAGTATGCCGCTGTAAACACACGTCCTGACTTGTGCTCACGTTTGGGATGGTTGCAAAGCCGGATTAATACTGCCAAAGTTTCCACTCTCATTGAAGCCAACAGAACACTTCATGAAGCCAAACAACATGCATCCACTGCCATACACATACATCCTATTAACCTCAAAGATCTCCGGTATGTAGCTTTCTCAGATGCCTCTTTTGCATCCGAAAAGAATCCAAGCTCCCACCAAGGGATGATCATTATGGCCGCCCACAAGAAAATTGGAGATAATGCCCAAAGCGTTATTAACCCAATAATATGGCACTCCAAGAAAATACAAAAGGTTGCCGTCAGCACGTTGTCGGCAGAGGCCATGGCTTTAGCTGGTGCTGTTGATGTTTTATCCTGGATCCGACTGATGTGGGCCTGGGTCATTGATCACCGATGCAGATGGAAGCAAGCTGATGAGACACTTCTTCAGCTGCCACCAGCGTTCTCAGCTTTGCATCCGGAGGAAGAACCTCACGTTCCGATGCCTGAATCCGTAGAAGAGTTGATCAAGCAGTTGCCATCGGAACAACAAGCCATTATTACCACAGATTGTAAGTCATTGTATGACCTGATCAACCGCACAGCGCCACCAGCGTGTACGGAATTCAGAACAATGCTGCAAGCAAAGCTCATCAAGGAGCATCTCCAAAATGGGATCAAAATCCGATGGGTGCCATCAGGAGCCCAAATTGCAGATTCTCTTACAAAAGTTATGGACAATACCATATTAAGAACTTGTCTTCACAAGGGATTCTACAGTTTACATGATGAACAAGAAATTCTCAAGGCTAGGTCGGATTCGAGATCGCGTCTACAGTGGCTTCAGTCGCAAGCCCCACTCTCCGAAAGCAGTGCAGTAACTCATGGAAAAGCCAAGTCGTCTATGAGTCAATCTCAGTTTGCAAAGATTAATTAAATAAGAAAAGGGGTTTTCCATAGTGATTTGAAGCGAAGGGAAATACTTGCCTGAACATCAGATCCAAGAGAGTCAGACAAAGGGGTTTTTCATGTGCTTGTGGTTGCCCAGAAACCACCTTGAAGCTTGGCGACGAAGTTTTTCCAAAGTTCTTGGAGCACATGGTGAATAAAAATAGAATAGTACGACTGTGAAACCACTGCCTATTCACATGTGCCTGCCAGGGTCACCAATTCCACCATGTACTGCAGCCGGGGGTAGGCTCAATGCCTGCGTGAAGGTGGGAGGGTTTTGCGCTTGAGCAATAGGCGCTATCAGTGACGCTTAGCGGAGAACCTTGTGGATATCACATTGGTTAGGTGCAGATCTGAGTGGCGTGGTACGGGGAAAAGACGCAGCAGCGTTTGCAGTTGCTCAGCAGGGCTGGGCTGGAAGCGGTTGGACAGCTACCTTTGTCAGTTTGACAATATATTATATATATATATATTTATTTACATATTTATGCTACCCCCCCCCCCAAAGATCTACCATTTTCAGCTTTTTGTTGATGTCAAAGAGGTAGTATGTGTTGGGAACCTTTTGCAAAAACAAAGTAGGTACACTATTACTTTCAAAAAAGATGAGCACATACTCAGGTCAGAAAGCACAACATTTCTTGAAGGAAGCAATCTGTTTCAAATTGCAGCGTTACCTAATATTAAGCCTTCCTTCAATCATACAGTATTTCTTTCAAAACACCAGATTCTAACATTTTGGATATGTCTGTGTTTTTGATGCAACAGAGTAAGAATAATATCTTGATCAGCAATTCTTAATCTACAATGCAATGAATATAGCAATCTGCTGTGAGCTGCCCGTGTGTCTTTTGTTGGCCAAGGGAGGCAATAGAAAATGAGGGGGGCCAACCCATTTTCGAAGTTAATGTCCAAGTGATTCCAAATCTCTGGAAGGTTTCACAAAATGATCAGACCGTTCACAGCTGTGCATCTTTGCTATCATGCTGTCTCTGTGTCAACTTGATGGGTTGGGCACCTCAAAAAACAAAATGCACCCACAAAATAAAATGCTGGGGTCTGACCCATTTTATTTTCAGGTTTTTTTTTAAGAAAGGGGCTCCTGCCCCCTCATTCTATTTAGGTACAAGCATGGAGAATGCTTGCAGAGAACCCTGGCGTCCGCACTGCGGCTTCCTCTCCAGCTGCAAGGGCTTCCTGCCTCAGTGGATTTTCCGAACGTACCCAGAGGCAGGTTGATGGGTAGTTTCCAACGGCAATTGGTAATTGATTCTTAATTTTAATAGATGGGTTATGATGGGTTTATTGGAGTAGACTGGTTGGTCTGACTTTTCTCATAAAAATTGTCACTTGGTAAACTAATCTGTTGCTGGCTACCCACGTTTGATAAGCCAATAAAACTTCCCACTGAGTGGATGGCAGGGAAGAAAACCTGAGGGAAACTGACAGAACTGCGCATGACGCCACGGTCGCAGAAGGGTTTCACCATGTCTCACTGTTGCCCCCTTTACTTTAGCCTAGACACAAGACATTCAACGATAATACGGGTAAACCCAAAATTCAGCAGAAGTTCATTTTACATCTACAAACACATTCAAAATACGTGAAAATACTGGTCCTGTCAAGCTGGAAGTTACACCGGAGTTCCACAAGTCCTAGCAGCATCCTGGGGGCAGTGCCGAATGTTCAACGGCAACCCAAACTGCGACGCGGCCTCGCATCCCGTTCCCAAGTTCGGTGTCAAGGACTATGAAGGACTATCAAGGACTATCAAGGACTATCAAGGACTATCAAGTGGATTCAAGTGGATTCAAGTGGCAGTTGCCCAGTGCCTCAGCTTGAAAGTGATGAAGCTCTTCTTGAAGGGCTTGGACGGCTTGGACCTCGTCGGAGCCTGGGGCCGTCAATCGGAGAGCTGTGCTGCCCTAGAGAGAAATGTTCATTATAGAGGTATTACTGTAGAAATCGATATACATATTCGATATTATTCGATTATACATGTACAGTATGTATATACTTATAAATTGTATATATGGATAGCAAATTGAAATTTATGCAAAGGTCATCCTGTCATATCAACTGCCATCCAAAAGCACGGCATCTGACTACATTCACTACAGCTGCCCTGGCTTCACAGTCGGCTCAGTATCCAGCTCTGTTCTTCCAGCTGCATGGTTTTGATGTCATCGGCCTGGCCCACAACACACAACAGCTAATTATAATTAAACATAACACATCACTTGAAAATACTAGAAAATACTATAAGTGTCTATTTAAATATTATATATATATATATATATATGATCATATATGTGATATGTTATAAGCCAGTTGTATATACATCTCTTTAGATATGCCATTGGCCCATAGTTGTTGGGCTGCAAATGGCCTGCTGTTGCCCTTTTAGCTGCAAGTTGCTCACCTGAACGGAGCGGCGAGGGGGACATGTTTGAAAATGGTGCGGTCCGGAAATCTGGGTCATATCATGTCATATCGTGCACCATTGGAAGGCTCTAGAGCCTCCTCCTTCAGCTGTTGAACATGAGCAAAGCAGTCCAACTCCTCCTCAAGGGCAGACAACTTCTCACGGGAGAAGTGGAAGCCGACCCATCCCAACAACTCCTGGTCCTGACCCCTTTAAAATGCCTGAAAAAGAAAACTGGAACCGAAAGAAAATTGTTCCTACCAAAAGATTGCGCGGCGTGCTTTTGTTCTTCATGATCACCAATCATCAAAAAAATATCAAACATCATCAAAAATCACCCTGGGAAATCATTGCAGAATCTCAGAATCTCCAATAAATCAAACAAAATCTTCTCAAACATCATCACCTTCACCCAATTTCCCACCTCCCGTCGCTGCCGCAGCTCAGCAGCCTGGCTGCCGGCGTGGCCGCCAGCTTCCACGGCTTCTAGGCGCGCCAGCTGCGACTGGGTCTCCTGCAACTTCGCGCGGAGCGAGGTGGTCAGCTGCCTCCCACGGGCAGATAAAGGGCCAGGTTCTGCCGATGGGTCGAAGTTGGGTCAAATTCGGGAATCCCCCCAAAAAATAGAATTACGTCAGGTATCAGCGGAAATTTGTGGTGGTCAGCTGATACGGAGCCGGTTTGAAAGCATGAGGGTTCCTAGATGGCCTAAAAATGCTGGGAGTTGACACCAAATTATATAAAGATTCACCGCTCCTCCAAAGGAGGCGTGCTGAGCCATACTTTGTGTTTCTGGTGATACGGTGATACAATTCTATCAGTTGAAATCTATGATATATACAAGCTAATTTATGATGATGCGTGGATAAATATAGAGATTTCACCATTGCAACGATCCACATGGATAAAAACAAAACCAGATTTAGCAGGGTTCGTTTCACGACCCATAACTTTGGAGTCTGCACTTTCCGCGGGCATATCTGATTTGATATCAATTGGTATCAGTTGATTGAATTCCGTCGTACTTCGGGAAGGGTCCTATTGTGAATCCCATTGTGAACCCTCCGGGGCCTCCAATTGCAAAATAGAAAAAAACTGAAAACAAAAATACGGACATTTAAATATACGGACTTTTAAATATACGAACAGGTATTTTAGACTACCTCCGGGAAGGTTTTCCTTGGCCCGCTCGGCCATTCAAACATACGGAATCCAATTCATCTAAACATACGGTAACTACATTTAAATATACGAACTGGTATTTCATACTACCTTCATAGCCTCCCTGTCTAGCCCGACCTCCACATATTTAAATGTCGTTACCGTGATTTACCGTGTATATATATATATATACATATGTGGCCGGAATTTCCAGCATGACACGGATGCAACCAGTTTCAAACCCCAACATGGATCAAAATGACAGAAGTCGGGGTGGTAGATATAGTATGGGAAACTGAAATTCTGAGAGAGGAACTTGGGAAGTCTTGGGAGATTTTGGGAGACCAGTTTGGGCGAAGCCAAATTCATGGCATTCAGCCCATGCGCCTTGACGTCAAAGACTCCTTGCAAAGGATTGCGGGATGACTCAACTGAAAGGCCTGGAGTTCACACATAAAGGCGCGTAAGGCAAACAAAGCATCCCCCTAATGAGGCTTCTTGGCTGGTTTTGCAAGCTCTCCTGAGGTGAGTCATGACGCCTCAACTTCAAGGTTCCAATGGTCCATATGTGCTCATATCACTCATATCTTATTGTGTTGGACCATTGAAGAGCACATTCCACTACTTCTACCCATGGACTTTCCCATCCTTTTCAGCTTCTCGTTGTACACCTTGTAGAATCTGGCCACATTGACAGCATTAAATTTCGAGTGGCCAGCGCTCTCAGCGCCCACAAATCTCGTAAAAAAATGCCATGTTTTGAGCATGTTCTGACATGTGTGTCCAAGTCTGTAAGCAATATGTACTGTTGCCTTTTCCAGCAGTTTTAAGACATGTTCTCATTGCTGCAGGTTGTCTATCAACGGTTCTATGTCATTTAGCCAGTGAATATCAGAAAGAAAATTCAATTTTGCCCTGTTGCGCCATGCTCAAATGATAGGGGTGTGTTTGCTTCTATGTTGCAGGTTTTTATAGCAAGCATGAACAAGAGGAAACAGCACTTTTGATTGACAGAAGATTTCATTTTGTCCCCAAGCAGCATTGCATCTTCCTGACAGAGCTCCCTACAGAAAGAGATATGGAATGTTTTGCAAGGGTAAGCATATTGTTCCTTTGAAAAATATTGTGTTATTAAACCCTAGTACAGCATCAACTCAGATTCTAAGGGCCACAGCATGCTTCTCATAAGTCATCGTTGAAAATTTGAAAGAATGTGGCATTTCTTGAGGAAGTTGTGGCATGCCTCTATGCAACATTCTTCTATAGAGGGAACAACATTCCTTTGAGAAAGTGTAAAGCAAGACCCTGAGATGTGCATAGCATTCCTTTAGAACAAGTGCGTTCTGTCTTCCATATATTTTAATGAACATATGATAGTAATTCCTTCCATAGAGGTAGTAGTCCTTTTAGAGAAGGGTAGCATTTCCTTAAGATAAAATATGCATATACATTAGTGTTTTTCAGAAAAGCGGCATTGCTATCAGACAATACTTGATGGTTTCATGAAATCTTGATTTTAAACAACGGTATTATGCCATATTACTTCGAAAAAATATTATTCATTTGGAAAATATAATATGAATTTCAAATAACATAATTCACTGTATGATATTATTAATCATATATATATATATATATGCAGTTACCCACAATCTTCCTTTCAAAAGTATGTAGCATCTCTTTGAGAAGTAGCCTTCAAGACACACAGCAGTCCTAGTGACAGAGTATGGCTGAGTATGGTGTGATTTACAGTAAGTTGTTGTACAAAAGGGAACCCTTTCATATATACAACAATCCCTTTGAAAGAGGGTGATGTGTCTGTAATAAAGCGCAATGCATGGAATTGCCATTTGAAGAAGTATAGTGTTCCTTGCAGGAAATATAGCATTATTTTGAAAGGGTATTCTTCAATAAGCAGTTGCTCTTTCAGAGATCACAGTGCAGCATGCCTTTATGCAAGTTTCCTAGAAAAGGGTGCAATATATTATATTTGTTCATTCCTTTGAAAAGAGGGTGGTATTCCTTGCTCAGAAGAAAATTACACAAACAGAGCCACCACCTCCAGAAAATCGGAAATTAGGCCTTGCTGTTCAGGAAATATGGAGAAAACATTTTCAAGGTAAAACCACCCCTATAGACAGGCGGTACAATAAGCAAAACCACCAAAAAAACACAAAAACCGAAAAAAACAAAAAAACAAAAAAAACAAAGATCCAGCAACTATGAGCCCCCCAACCTTTCTCTGGAATCTTTGTTTTTTTTGTTTTTTTTGTTTTTTTGGTTTTTTTTGGTTTTTTTGGTTTTTTCGGTTTTCAGTTATGGAGTTTAATTTTGTGTAGGGAATTTTGTTCTTGGGGTTTGCCTGTGGGAGATGCAATGTTGAAGTGACAAGTGCAGCCATACTTTTTTTCTGGATGGGTAGATTCAATGGGAAAAGTGGCAAAAGGAGACTGCCCAAAACGTGGGCGCTCACAACGCTGCTTTCAGTAAATTTGATTGGCAGCGCCCTTTTGATCCTCGCACAAAAACGCCTACGGTAACATCCATGCATTGCACATGCAACTGTAGCTAAACTGACATGTAAGGTTCGACATGTCTGCAACTAAATCCAAATTGAACTGCACATGTACTGCAAACAAATGGATATGTCCTGGAGTGAAATTCCATTCACCCCGCCTCCGTTGCGACTTCTTTTAAGTCAGCAGCTGAAGTCTTTGCAAAAAAAAATCTACCAAGGCTGTCTTCAAAGCCTTCACGGCAAAGGGCAGTAGATTCTTCCTTCTCTGTTGCATGTTGAAAAACTCTGTACATCTTTCAAGACTTCTTTTAAGTCCCGTCTACGTCGGTGTACATCATTCCATGGGCTTCTCTGATTTGACCTTCGATTTGCGCCATCAGCAAGCTGTTGTTGTGAATCTGGGCATCATCCCATTCACATTCCAGTCTTTCGATTCTGGTTCTCAGCACACTATTTGTTTCTCTCATAGCTTGTCTCATTTCAGGCGGCAAAGGTGAAGGACGAACTGCAGGATCATCTGATAGAGGAGACTCTGATCTTTCTCCTTCTCCATGATCATGCTCATCGGTCCAGGGTGGCCCATAGTGGATGTGACGCCAATATTCGTCGTCTGAAACTTCACACATCTCACTGTCCAAATAACGGCGACGTTTCTCTTGCAGGGTTTCAGCTTTTCCTTCATATATTCCCCAACCCATTTTATACTCAAGTATATCCAAAACTTGATGCAACTTTTGGTCCATGCCTTTGGCGAAGGTCTCGCCTCTCGCAACTCCCAGTGCAAAGCGCAAGTAGAAGCAAACAGCCAATGCACCACAGAGCAGCGTAAGCAGGGTTGCAATCATCACATTCTTGTAGTCCATGAAGCTTGAGCTCGGGCTGAGGTCAGCTGAAATTGCATCAGTAGAGATTGCCATAGCCATTTCCGAAGGACTCAAGGCGAGAAGGAGGATTCTCAGAAGTTGTTTGGGGGCGCTATATCCTTGTTCTTTAAGAAGTCGAATACTGGCCTTCATGTTGTCCTGTTCTTGTATCTTGTCATAGGCATTCATGCCAACAAACTCAGAGGTGTCCATGTTGTATACTTTGCATAAACACATGAGGTATTCCATCCTATCCTTTGCTAACCGTTTGGTCCCCAAGTCTGCAGGGTTCTCACGGCTGGGAACTTTTGAAGGAACTAAACCTTTCTCTTTCACTCTTTGCTGCATCCACAAAACACGAACACTGATATGACGAATACGTCCTACTCCAGAACGTAAAAAGAAGGATCTGCCTGCTGAGTTGTCCATCTTGATGAAGGTGACCACTTTGTTCTCTCCTCCAACAATGAAACACAGGCAGTATTCCAACAGTGCACCATCGCAGCATGCGCTAGTTGCTGCATAAATTTCAGCTTCTGCTGAAGAGAGTGCTATCGCTTTCTGTGATCGTGAACTTGAATACAGTAAGTTCCCAAATAGGAATATGAATCCAGAAGAAACTGATTTCCTGGTTGAGCGGTGTTTCGCCCAGTCACTGTCTGAAAAGACTTCCAACGTGTAGTCCTCAGGGGTGTAGTGCAAAAGTCCATGGTGACCTTTGTAAGTCAAAATAAGACAGTTTTCCATGCATCCCAACAAGTACATACACAAGTGTCGCAAGCATGCAAACGAGTTCACTGTGGGCTTTGACATCGACTGCGACAACGCACGTATGCTGTATTGACATTCGATGTAGTCACTGGAGATATACAAAAGAATACCAATACATGATCTATATATCTTTGCATGTTGGGCATCCAACTCTTTGGAGTTGTCGGGTTCATCCAACAGTGGGTGGCCAGGTGTCTTCTTTGGCATCAGGCTGCGTTTGATCTTCAAAAGCTCAAACAGTTTTTCAAGGTGTTTCGGGTGGCTTTGTATGGCTAGCTGGTTTGGGCTGACCATCACATGTTTCCTCTTCAAGAACGTAAGTTCATCACCCTCGTTGCAAACTACATCCAACGATATCTTGTACTTGGCACACAAGGCTGGTACCAACGTGTTGTTCAGGTAGTTCTCTTTCACCAAGCAAAGAACATCATCGACATGCAGCAGCAAGACGCATTCTGAGTTTTCAGCTCGAAGTAGGCAGGGGTATGCATCACAAGGGGTGATCTTCAGCTCGTCACGCAAGAAACTGCTAAAAGCATCGTGCCACATCTGTGACCCATTCCTCTGGCCTGGAAGCACACGGCCGAGGACAAACTCCATGGTGGCACCTGAAGCATCAACGCATGTAACCTGTGTGAGTTCTTCTTGAGGAACCATTAGAAAAGCATCACCAACATCTATTGAGCATAGCACATAGCCATCAGTCTTCCACTTCATGAAGAGCGTAGGCAGTAACCTTGTTGTGATCACTGAAGATGCTGGTGAAAACAAATCTTGTCTATCTGGACTCAACCAAGCAAACTCACGTGCTACGTATCTCGATCGACGTAGCCAAACTCTTTGTCCATCTATATGTTTATCTCTCCAAGCTCTCACCATCCTTGTTGTCAGTCTTTTGGGTGCTTGACCTTTGTAGTCATAGCCGTCGGCAGGAAGTAAGACTCCCATTGATTTCAACCTGGAGATTTCAAGGTGATCGGCCATGGTGTCAATTCGAAGTAGTTCACTTTCACTAAGCTGAGGTTCAGCAGTGGAGTAAGGAAAGCAAAGTTGTTTCAACAAAGCAGCATCACTGACATCATCACTTTTGTTGTTCAGCTCTTCGTCCAACGAAAAGTCGTAGGCTTCCAACTCATCAACCTCACAATCATCACATGTTGTGGGGTGCTCAGCATCCTCATGCTCAAAGATAGCTAGTATTCTAGCTTGTTTTGAAGGTCTCTCAGACTCTTCCGATGCAGTCTCAAGTGGGTGCACGACACCTGAAGAAGTGTCCATGCCTCTCGAAGGTGCTTCCAAAGCACTGCCTGCAGCATGTGTTGCTCCATCCAATGGAGTTGAAGGAACTTGCAGTCCAACTGCACTTGGAAGGGACCCCGCCTCAGCAGCTTGTCCCATAGTCTCATCCAACGCATCACCTTCCAAAGCTGGTACGCCAGAAACTGGAGCAGGCAAAACAACAGGTTTGTGCGGCGCCTCAACTGGAGTGGGCGGCACATTTCTAACTGCTTCTGCATCTTCATCCCTGAGAGGAGCTGAAACAAAAGGGGCTGGTGTTGGTGGAGCAATCCTCTTGGCCAAAATCAACTGAGAACCTAAAGAGGCATATGAAAATTGCCAAGGGCAGGTCTCCACCTGACTCATCATCTCACCATTCCACGCATTTGGAAACCTTCTGATACTACGTGTCACAAACAGTTGGTTGTTGCCAGGAACTGCAACGATGTTGACATCATTGTTGATTGTTTTCCCAAGCCAAATGCCTTTCGTCCATTGTGGGGCTCCTTTGGCTGACTGTCGTAGGTATCCTAAGACACATTCACCAAACATGGCTACTCGACCACTGTAGGTTCTATCTGCACAAAGTTCATAAGCAGTGTGTCCCTGTTTCACAACGTACCTGTTATGCAACCATGCCGCATGAAGAAGTGACCATGAATACAAAGGGTGTTGACATCCAATTGTACCTTCTGGGATTCCACAGCCACGTTCCAGTTGCTGTATCAGCAGATTGGCCTGACGTCGAAGCAGCTTCACTGTGACTTCGGCCGCTCCGTTTGAAGCATGGCTGCCAGGGGCAACAGTCTCAACAATTGTTTTGACTCCCAAGCACCTACATGTTTTCCTCACGGCCTCCAGCAAAGACAACGTCGAAGGTTCCTGATCGCATTTCAATGAAATTGTTTCATGACCAAGCCAAAGCACGAATCTGCAAAACTCCGTGCATAAGTGGTTGAGCCAACGTCCACCTTTCTGGGGTGTAGGCACCGTATGCATGGCACCAGTGTGCCTGTCATGCAAGAAAAGTGCACAAATTTTGTCATCATCGTCATTTCGTGCAGCATAGCCAAAGTCGAAAGAAATACAACTGTGGCCTGAGTCGACATGTGGTTGAGGTTCATGTCCATCTTGCCTGGCATGATTTGCAACACAGAGTTCACACCAAGCAGCATATGGGTAGTGCACCAAATTGTGCTGGGCACGTTGCGTTTCCGTTGGTTCAGCAGGAACTGGTTGGCCTATAGCTGGTCTCATCTGTTCACCTTGCAAGTTGCGTTCTGCAGAGTGAGCTGCAATAAGTTCTTGAGCTTGCAAGTGTTCCCAAAGTCTTTGCAATAGTTTGACCTTGCCTCCTCCCTTCGAAAGTCCAAGGGCATTGCATGCACCTCTCAAAGTGTTCAGCGATGAATTGCTGTCCAGCTTCACTCCATCTATCAAAACTTCTCTAACTTCTACACCAACTTCTCTATCAGCCACTGGCAGTTCTTGTTCATCAGCGGCAGCAGGAACAGGGTCAGGCGCTGCACTGGCATCAGCTGCAGGCCTGGGCGCAGATGAAGATGGAGCTGAACTGGATGAAGCTGAAGCACGAAAAGAACTTGAAAGTGCAGGTACAACCGCATCATCATAAACTGAAAAACCAAGGGCCTCAGGTGGAACAAACTCCGTGTGGGCAATCGTGATCACCTCCACAACTTTCTTTGCAGACTCAATTGGACTAACTCGTGAGTCCATTTCTGAAATATTTTCACAAAACTCATCCAAGTGCCATGTATCATCATCATGCTTGACCAATGTTGTACGCAACCATAATAGTGCATCACTCACGCAAAAAGTTGTATCAACATGTTGAGGTGAGATACTACGCAGTGCATAAACATTTTCAGAAAGTTGAATCCAACCTCGACCAAGACTTGAAAGTGGTTCACTCAACGCAAGGGCTCTGACGTGTTCCTTGCACTCTTGGGCAGTGGGCGTTGAAGAATCGTCCACAACATTCAGCATCCTAATGCTACCATGTGCACAAAGTGAGTTTCGTTTGAAATGAACTGGTATGCTCCTGCCATCTCTCACGAGTTTCATAGTACCACCATTGTTTTCCAAACACCATCCATCCTTCAACAGTCTACCCATTGAAATAAGTGGTGAAGTGACAGCAGCAATAATGAAACGCTCTTTGAAACGCACTGATCCTAGTTGGACTTCAGCAATCCTAGCTCCCCGCACATTTATTGGCTTACCTTGGGCATCAACATATGCAGAGTCCTTGTGAAAACTTTCATCGTGCAAACCAATGTGGGCATATTCAAGTGGTAAAACCGAGCCATCAGCACCAGAGTCCAGCACCACCTCCACAGGCGTAGGGCTGGTAGACCCAATTGCTCGAATACAGTCCACTTCATCAGAAATGCAAACATCACTGGAAAGCAGGTCAAAGCTGGGTGAATTGCAAACAGTCCATGAATCATCATCGTCGCTATATGAAATATCAAAGTGCACAAAACGCTCCATGTATGCTGTGTCGGCCATGCAAAGGTTGTCATCAAATGAAACTTCAGCATGTGAAACCATGTTGATGTTGCCACCAGCATCATAAACAGTGAGGTCGCGCAACTCAAAGTCAGAATCTTCACTGCAAAGCTCTTCAATCACAGGTGAGGCCATAGCGCTAAAGAGACGCACAGCGCTAGCACTTGAAGGCAAAGAGGTCGAAGCTGTCGAAGGCGCAGCACTGCCAGCAACGCTCTGGGTCTCGTCTGAGACTTGGTTCACTCTAGAAGCACCAGGTTTTCCATTCAACTTCCAACAGTCCCTTTTAAAGTGACCATACTTGCCGCAATGCAAACATTGATCATTTTGGGTTGCAACACGTTTTGAGGTATCTTTGCCAGTACCTTTTCCTTTACCCTTATCGTTCTTACCTTTGGACTTCCCTTTGGAGGTATCTTTTCCTTTGGACTTACCTTTTGACCTTCCCTTCTTGCCTCCTTTCTCAAAGCGATCTATCTCCATTGGAGCAACGCCAGTGTAAGAAGGCTGAACAGGATGTTGTTGTGGCAAAATGCCAAGCTCATTGTGGATCTTTCCAGGGCTCCATGTTGTTGTAACGGTCTCGTAGCTAAGCACCAGGTCTCTGATTTGGCTGTAAGTTGAATTCTCACTCATCTGCAGCTGGATGTGCTGTTGTATCCCTTTGGGAAGAGCTCGGACCAGCACACTCAACATTATGTTGTCATCCAAGTCAGTTCCAGAGGCACGCACATACTCAGAGCGTAAACGCTCAAGACCAAGAATCTGATCCAAAAGTGTCCTGTCCTTGGTGGTGAAGTTGGGGATGTTCATGAGGGCTGACAACAGCGATATGGACCTAGATTTCGTCTTGGGCAGGTACAACTGAATCAACTGTCTCCAAACTTCAAAGCCATTTCGCTCTGTCACCTGTCGGAGCAGTCGAAGAGGTTTTCCTCGAAGAAGACCTGTCAAGATACTGTACAATTGTTTGCATCGCTGTTGCACCTCATCAGGTTCACCAGAAACAGCAGGAATGGGATTTGCACCATGCAGCTCAGTTCTATGTAGATCTTGTTCAAACAAAGGGTTCCCATAGTACAACCAAGCTCGAAAATTCACTTGAAAGTCCTGCCATCGTGCCAAGTCGTCCTCATGGTTTTCACTACCAAAAGGCTCAGGAAGACGGACAACTTTTGATGCCTCCTGGAAGCTTGATCTCGAAGATTGTTGGGCCTTCAAGGCCTTTGTGGCTTCAGCTGCAGCATTTGCAGCTTCAGTGGCTGCCTGAATCAAGGCTCCCAAATCATCTGCAGAAACCGTAGTGCCAGCCATGGCAACAGGTGGCTAAAGAGCCAAGCAAAGACTGGCTAACGAGCCAAGTCTGAACGGTCCCGTGGATGCCCTAGGTCCTTTTGACCTTTAGGGCTCCGCTACCATGATTGGCAGCGCCCTTTTGATCCTCGCACAAAAACGCCTACGGTAACATCCATGTATTGCACATGCAACTGTAGCTAAACTGACATGTAAGGTTCGACATGTCTGCAACTAAATCCAAATTGAACTGCACATGTACTGCAAACAAATGGATATGTCCTGGAGTGAAATTCCATTCAAAATTTCATCGAGCGCCGATTTCTGACAGAATTTGAATTTGCATTCCTGCAAATCCATAAAGTATAACCTGCCGTTTCAGCTATCTTGAGCATCACCACAAGGTATACCAACATGGGCCGCACCTCCAGATACTTTTGCGGAATCTGAGAGGCAGACTCTTTGGCCTCGGACGAGGCCAAGCTTGCATGGTGGATCACAGTTGCAGAAGTTCTAGAAACTGAAACACGTTTCCAAAATATTCCAAGATATTCCAAGCACTGCGAATTGTTGCTGCATTTAACTCAGGCCAGCTGTTGCTGGGGTCATCGAGAAAAGTCTTGCAGATTTCAAAGTAGAAGGGACATTCCAGCACTTCCAGCTGAACATTCAATCTCCCTCCCACACAGGCTACCAAACTTCCATCTCAGATCTGTGGATTCTCTCTTCCCATAGTTGAGTAGTTGCCGCCTCCTTAGTGCATGGGTGCAGCCGAAGCATGCAAAAACCATTTTGACGTTGACCCATGTTGGCCCTATATATCCTGTATGGAGCTGAACCTGTGATCTGCATCGTCATTGTGGGTACTTCTACCTAAAATCGCCAAAGCACCTGCCACACAGTTGTTGAGCACAGACCCCCGCAAAACTAGACGACTGTTGGCCCGAGAGCGAGTAGGTGTATAGGTACTCAGATGTGTTATGTAGTTGTATGATTTGCAGACGCCAAAGACTTACATGAATATGTTCATGAGAGTGTTATTTGAGATCATGTGAATATGTTACTTGTGTGTAGATGTCAAGATAAGAAGATGTGAAGATGTCAGGGTTTTAGTTGCAAGAGACAGACAAGATATGCTGTATAGAAGATGTGAAAATACTACAAGCATACAGATATTCTGATAAGCTCTCAACACACAAACACACGCAGAGAAACATGCTTACACATATACATATACATATATATATATACATAAGCAGGCACACACAGAAGCTTTTACATACAGTAGTTTTTACACACAGGCGTTTTTACACACACAAGTTTTTACACACAGACACTTTTACACACAGACGCTTTTACACACAGACACTTTTGCACACAGAAGCTTTTACACACAGGAGTTTTTACACACAGACGCTTTTACACACAGAAACTTTTACACACAGAAGCTTTTACACACAGAAGTTTTTACGCACAAACGCTTTTACATACAGAATTTTTTACACACAGACACTTTTACACACAAACGCTTTTACACACAGAAGTTTTTACACACAGACGCTTTTACACACTGAAGTTTTTACACACAGAAGTTTTAACACACAGACGCTTTTACACACAGAAGCTTTTACACGCAAACACTTTAAACGCAGACGCGTTTACACACAAACACCTTTACACACAAGCACTTGTACACGCAGACCCTTTAACAGGACCAACCAAACTCGCAAAAAAACATCAGTTTTTGACACTCGAACCTCATTTTGTGCGAAAGGGTTGCCGCCGACACTTCCAAATCGCAATTTTTAAGTCAGTTTTTGACATTCGAACCTCATTTCGTGCGAAAAGGTTGCCGCGGACACTTCCAAATCGCAATTTTACCTCAGTTTTTGACATTCGAACCTCATTTCGTGCGAAAGAGTTGCCGCGGACACTTCAAAATCGCAATTTTACCTCAGTTTTTGACGATCGAACTGATCGAACCTCATTTCCCGCGAAACGGTGGCCTTAAGAAAGAAAAGAAAAAGAAGGAGAGAGACGGTGACAGAGGGCAAGAGAGAGAGAGAGAGAAAGGGAGAGAGAGAGAGAGAGAAGATGTGAGGATGTGAGGATGTGAAGATGATATGTGTGTAGATGTGAAGATGAGCAAATGTGAAGATGTGAAGATGTAGAACAGACCCCCACTATTAGAAGAACCCTTCGCTCAGACGCTCTCAGGAAAGAACAGCTGGCCTCCTCTCGACAGCGCTGCCAACATCTTGCCGCGTGTTGCTGCTCTTCTGATCTCACCAAAGCCTGCAATTGCTTGATAGCATACCCATGGGACCCATGATTGATGATTCATGATGATTCACTAGACCACCTGCCATTCCTGGAGTCATAGGTTGCCTGTTTTCGGAATAGTACAATTTAGTACAGTAAGGTTCAACCAGTCACGGTACACTCATGTGATTGATCATGTGTTGTTGCAATCAAATAAATCATACTTTGTTCAGCTGGAGGCTGTCGCCGCACCTGGCATGATTGTAGCCATTGAGGTGCTTTTGCCTGGTGCAAACGGCCGAGCCAAAGGTCTATCTATCACGGGACCCTATCATCGCCTCTTGGTTTTCAATGACTTTAAATGACTTCAATACGCTTTAAGTAAATAATATATATATAATAATATTAGATCTATAATAGATCTAATTATACCTGAGAAGAGGGGACGACAGCCAGGAACTAGTTGGAACGGGGAGACGAGAGTGGAGAGGATGGGAGGGATTTCGGCGGGGGTTGGTGGAGGAGGCGGCAGTGCGAGGCTATATTGAATGCCGTTTTGGAATCCGTGGGGAGAGGGAAGGAATGTGCAGGAGACTTGACATACTATACTTGACACTCCATATGTGGCATTTTACATTTTCACACTGGACTGGTTCGACGTTAGACTTTACAGTCTATACTATAGAATCGATACCCCTACATTTCATACTGTACAAGTTATATTTTACATTCCTGGCTCTTCACTGCACACCTGACACTCCACAGGAACAGGAAACAATGGGATTTTCGACATTGATGGGGTTCCATAGATTTTGCTGAAGGTAAGCTAAGAGGGAACCATGCAAAAGTAAGAAACATTACCAGTACGAGTAGATTCTGCAGATGGTGGATTCATCTGTATGTATGTATGTATGTATGTATGTATGTGTGTATGTATGTATGTATGTATGTATGTATGTATGTATGTATGTATGTATGTATGTATGTATGTATGTATGTATGTATGTATGCATGTAGGTACGTACGTACGTACATACGTACGTAGGTATGCATGCATGCATGCATGCATGTCTGTATGTATGTCTGTATGTATGTCACCGGAAATGCCTGAATAGAGACCAACGAACGCGCATGCTGGGCTCTACAAGACCGCAAATCAATTCTCAACACTTTTTATAAAGTGTTTAGAATTCTTAGCATCGTTCAAGACCGACAAAAAGCGCAATGAGTTGCCCGAAAAGAGGAGGTGGAAGTCACTTTTGGGTATGTATAACCTCCGAGAAATTAAACATGATCCACTACAGGATGACAACAAAATTATTTATGAGAATCACAATAACAATTTCATTTCGGTATGTTTGTCGGGATCAAAATCTAGTGCCCCCCTAAATATATTGACATCTTGTAGACATATACATATATATATACGTAATCTATACACGATATGATATGATACTATGTTGTAAACTGGTGGAATACATCGAATCCTGTCCGGTGGATATCAAATGCTGTCTGGTTGCAAGCCGCAATACTGCAAAACTGTGGGCTACACATGGCTATACACATGTGATTGCAAAGCTTTCGGATCAGACACCCGTTTTGGCGACCTCAAAAATCGGGGCCGGCATTGAAGCCATGCATGCCGTTGGGCTACAAAATACTTATGAACAAAAAAGGAGCGATGGTTCGAGACAGCCATAGTTTGCAAAGCAGCTGCAAAGCCGATGCTGCACTAGTGGACCATGTGAGACTCCGTTCTTGCTTCATTTCTCCCTCCATTCCCGTCGCCCCCAATGCACGTTTTTCCGTGCCCCCAATGCACGTCACTGGACGGACCAGGGGGGAATCGAACCCCACCGTCACCCAATTGCCACCTGGTACATCAGCCTCAAAATCGACCACGCCACCCTATTCAGTTGGGGAAGTGCCTCAAAATGGTCCGTTTTGAAGCGACCGCCCCCCGGACCCCCTATTCTCACTTCGTTCGCAAAGAGCGACTTAAGCCAAGCTTGACAGCTGGCTTTCGTAATATATGGTATTACCAACTGACAGTTAATGAACTCTTTGATTTTGATTCAAAAGGTATTGGGAAGAAGACCACAGGCTTTCAAACAAACAGGTTCAAGAGTTCAAGAATCATCAAATTTCCTTGCAGATCCTTGCAGCTGAGGCCAAAAAGCCTCTATCTTGGCCCACTAATCCCACTATCTTGGCCTCTGCGAGCTCTAGTGCCACGTTCTCCTGGTTGTCATGACGAAGATTCCGGGAGACATCTGAAACATCTACAGTCCATTGATGTCGATTCTAGATTCTAGATTTGAAGAGGATATCCCGGTTCAAACTCCATAAAAGTCAGATCACGTCAGATCTGCCATCTGCGATACTCGGGGTACTGGGCCAATACTTGGCGTATTAGGCGTATCAAAATCAAAGTTCCATCTGCCATGTCTGAACTGTCTGCCATGTCTCCTGGGCCATCTTCACTTCTGCTTCTAACTCTCGAAGACCACCTCAGCTGATAGCAAACACCTTGGGGTGCCCGATGGTGCACATCCAGGACTGGGGTACTCGCTGGATTCTCTTCCAACCAGTATGTGATCTTGCGTGTATTGGTTTTCATCTAAAGGAGACCAATCTTGAAACATCATTGGTTGTATCATCTTGTATCTGCCACCTCTGAGCTTCAGAACCGTGTCGCACAGTCTCTTCCTGTGGGCAAGAAGCATCGACGAAAAAGGTCTCATTCCCCGTTTGCAGCGCTTGCTGGCATAGATCAAAACTAGCACCACACAAATTGAACGGCGGCCATAGCCCTTAGATCCCTTTGGAGAGATGCAGAAAAAAACAAAGCGGGAGAGAGACAGGAGTACGAGGGAGAAAAAGACCAAGAGAGAGAGAGAGAGAAAGAGAGAGAGAGAGAGAGAACAAATGTTAAGATTGAGTGAGTGGCTCTCTCAAATTGCTCGGTTCATTGCGCAATCGTCGTCTGTGTGAATGTCAGAGTCCGTGTTTTCATAGTCTGCACCTGTCGCATCTTTCCACCAGCAAATTCTGTCCTTGAGCTGCTGGAGCTTCCTTTCAAGTTCCTGGCGGTGGTGCATGGTGGGGAGACTGAGCGCAAGGAGAGACGCAAAGGTTGAGAAAGTAATTAATTGTCCAGGCTGTGATTTCCTCTACAAGTAGTTTGGGTCACACTTGGTACCCAAACATGGATTCTTTACTTAAACAAGTGACTCAAAATGACTCATAGACATGTAGAAACATGTAGTTTCTCGTCAAAATGTTGGTTCCCGAAAGCGGTCGAAAGTCGCAGTCTCGCGGGGGCCCATAAATGTTTGGTATCAACTTCGGGTATCATGGAATGTCAGGAAATGAGTGATCAACCATCAATCGCAAAATTGGCGGCAGGTGCATGCAGGAGCACTAGCGCGCAGCTTTTTCAGCTGTCTTCTTCGGAGGTGTCAGTGGAGCTAGAACTTGAACTGTGCCATGCTGATATCCAAGCCTCGCAACTTCTGGTGGATCTCCATACCGTCTCTTGCAGCAATTGTTCCTGGCTTGGAGCGATGCCACAAATTGCCACAATGCTCACTCAATGCTCACTCAATGCTCACTCAATGCTCACTCAATGCTCACTTACATCACCTTTCTGCAAGAAACAACTCGATTCAAGGCGTGCACTTGGCTCCAGTAGCACTCCTGCTTCTCAGTCGCCACAACAAGTCTGGAGTTTTCGTCCACCTACCCGGACAGGCCAAAGATGGCCAAAGTATTTTAAGGTCGACATCACTTGCGTCGCATCTGTGAGCTCACCTCCGCTTCCAAGGACGTCTTCAGGGACTGCAGCCTTTGAACCTCGGCAGCCTATTGAATCTCTGATCACCAATGGATCACAGAGGTATGCGAAGGTCACAAAGTTTTTCAAAGTGTCTTCAATTCCTATTTCAGTTCGATAAATTTCGACAACGAATCCCTTTCTGGCCTCATCCCTTGCTTAGGCACCGGCTTCAAGCTGATTCTGATGCAACTGTGCCTGTTGACGGCTCATCAATAAATCGTGCATGTAAAGGTGCGTGAATATCTTAACCATGATTTGACTATCTATATCTATATCTATATCTATCTATATCTATCTATATCTATCTATATCTATCTATATCTTGCCAAGCCCGTGTTTGGCTTAAGACTGGTGGGGGGGGGTGGTGCACGGCAAGGTGCTAAAATTTCAAAAATAGGTGCTCAAATTTAAGGAAATAGGTGTTTTTTTGAAGAAACGGGTCGGGATCCAGTCGGGACCCAGTCGGGACCCAGTCGGGACCCAATCGGGCACCAATTTTTGCATTTTTGGGCACCGCTTTTGGCCAGCCGGGATCCAGTCGGGATCCAGTCGGGATCCAGTCGGGCACCAATTTTCGAATTTTTGGCACCACGTTTGGACCTGTCGGGAAGCAGCCAAAATCACCGAAAAACATGCAAAAACACTGCAAAAATGTTATTTTTTATGAATTTGGCTGCCTCCCGACATTGGTGCCTGACTGGATCCCGACTGGATCCCGACTGGATCCCGACTGGATCCCGACTGGCCAAAAGCGGTGCCCAAAAATGCAAAAATTGGTGCCCGACTGGGTCCCGACGGGATCCTGACTGGATCCATAGATTGGCACCTATTTTTCCCTTCCCAGACCCACCCTTGCCCCTATTTTCCTTTTCCGCGCACCAGCCGTGCACCAATACCCCCCCCCTCCTGCACCAAAACGGTAAAAGCAGTCTTAAGCCAAACGGGGGTTCTACAATCTATATCTATCTATATCTATCTATATCTATCTATATCTATCTATCTAACTAACTAACTAACTAACTAACTAAGTAACTAATTAACTAACTAACTATATATATATGTGTGTGTGTTCAAAGAATGTAAGCAAAGCTGATCCTCTCAGAGTCACTCCCTTCCAACGTTGACGGCATCATTGTCCTACAAATGGTTTGATCTGGCAAAATCCTCAGCGACAATCTGACTCCCCTGGCGCATCCTCGGGTTTCTTCCAGCCTGGATCTCTTGCTGACGGTTTCTCTCTTCAGCAAGCACGACTTGGCGCTGTTGCTGCTCCTGACGCAGTCCAGCTTCAACGAGCTTGACATCAACTTCATCAGTTGGCTGAAACTACAGCAGTTATACCCAATGCTCCAAGACCCAGCACACGCGGGCAGCCCAGCAACTTCTCACCTCCAAGGCACTCAGCGCTGACGTCTGTTGCTCCGCTTCCCTAAGGGCTTCAAACTCCACCCGCAGAGCATCAGCCTGTGACGGGGGAGCCTGGTGGTGAAGGTAAGAAGTAACTTTCAGCCGGACATATCGATAGTGCCAATGCCGACGTAGTGAAATTATGTTTGCAGGGAAATGTGTGTATATATATATATATCTATCTCCTTACATCTATCCATTATTGATCTTTATGTATATAGTTAGTCATATAGTAGTATAGATTGTTTTTCTCTATTATTACCGTACTGATCCGTGATGTGTTTATCAGTCCATTTGCTTGCAAATCAACTTTGGTGTTAAGTTGCCCTTTCCTTGTCTTTTGGTTGTTCCCTCCGATGGGGTGCTGGCGCGCGCTCCAGAGCGGGGGGCTAATAACGTTTTTTTTCGCCTGCATTTCCAAGACGCTCTTGATGCTACACTCTTGACTTTCTCAAGCACGTTTTGACACGCTGGTCTCGAACCCATTTTGGATCCCTTGTCGATGTATAGGTGCGTCACTGTTGGACAACTTGGTCACCCACCTGTGGACTTCTTGAATGTTGCTTTGGCATTGGAAAAAAGGCGCGATGGAAATGAGGATGAAATCCAAGGAAATCGAATACCCAACTAAGATATGGAAAATAGAAGTACAAACAACGCGCACTGACATCCAATCGTAGCGTTGTTGTTACAGTTGCTGCTGCTGTTGTTGTTGTCGCCGTCGTCGTCCTCGTCGTCGTCGTCATCATCGTTGTCGTCGTCGCCATTGCTGTTGTTGTTGCTGTTTTTGTTCTTGTTATTGTTATTGTTCTTCTTCGTGTTGTTGTTGTTGTTGTTGGCATTGTTATTGCTGTTCTTGTGAGTGTTCTTGTTCTTGTTCTTCTTGTTCTTCCTGTTCTTCTTGTTCTTCTTGTTCTTCTTGTTCTTCCTGTTCTTCTTGTTCTTCTTGTTGTTCTTGTTGTTCTTGTTGTTTTTGTTCTTGCTGTTCTTGCTGTTCTTGCTGTTCTTGCTGTTCTTGCTGTGGTTGGTGGTTCTTGTTCCTGTTTTTGTTCTTGCTCTTGTTGTTGCTGTTGTTGTTGCTGTTGTTGTGTTGTTGTTGCTATTGTTGTTGCTGCTGCTGGTGGTGGTGGGTGGTGGTGGTATTGCATATTTAAAATACCAATACCAAATGTACCAGTATCATGATTTTGATCGATTTTGCATGTATGAGCACGTGCTATCATTGCTCCTAGACTTGGATATGGTCTATGAAGATGCATCATCTACTCGTTGACTGCTGGGGCAGTGACCCCAGCTGCGCCTGAGAAGTTTCGATTGAGTCAATGGCTTGCAGGGTTGCTTCCCTGCAGAAACACTTCACCCCAAGAGTGGAGTGGGTTGTTTGACGGTTGACTTTAAAGTCCTCTGAAGCAAATCCAGTTGAGAAAATTTGTAGTGCTGGCCCGCTCCGCAACGGTTTGGCGGTTGAATGATTTCCTTGCAAATATCAGGAAATGACATCAGGTTTGGATAGATTTGCCCTCGCAGCCAGCGGCAAACCATTGCAGAAGATCACACCTCAAAAAAAAACATGTTCACTGGCTGAGGGTCGCCATCGACACTCCCAGCCTCATCCTGGCTATGGGTGGCTATGGGACATCCAAGTCTCTGCAGCCACAGTGCCCAAGAGATCCAGATCCAGAGCCATTCCAGCTAAAATGTTTACAGAGAGGTTCGTCTTCATCGTTGTTCAGTATGCACTGACTGGTCTCGCATTCTATTCCTTGAGATTCATGATGTGCTATCACACATTTTCAGAGTATCAGCGTATGCTGTTGTTGGATGTCGTTCACTTCCGACAGTCAGATCTAAACCTCGACGGTTCTGACAATTCCAAGATGTTCCAAGATATCATAAAGCAAACACAAACAATGGTCAAGTAGGGAAGTCTCCAAAGCATCAAACAAATTCAAACAAAACTTTGTTTCGCGCGTCGTCGTCAACTCGAATAGCAGACTTTTGTGATGATGGCTCTCTCCTTTGTTTTGTTCTGGCAGGTGGGGAACAAAACAACACACAAGGGTCAAGTCGGCAAGTTTCGAAAGCATCAAAAGAAACGTTAAACGAATTCCGCGTCAACTAGAAGTCTGTCTCCGCTGCTCGGAACTTACACAACTCCAGCGAACCCGTTCCGGGCAATGATTTAACTTGCAGGCAGCAAACAACACGTTCAATGTTCAACCATCCACCAGCAGTGAAACTGTCATGGTCACTGCCATGGGGCATTTTATGGCATTTTTTTTCAATTTCCAGTCGCCTGTACAGGAACCATGCCCACCCTGAAATTCCAGTTGTGGGACGCTCTCACTTCACAGGAACTAGCTGCCCACTCACTCGTCCTTGGTCTTGGGCGGCGCAAGCGGAAACCAAAAGGTGTCCTTGCTCTGCCGGCGGCTGGGGTCGTTGGCAGGCGTGCTCAAATCAACCTCCAGCGTATCACCGGTACTCTTCATCCAGTCCTGCAAGTCTTCATCCAATTTCACCCTGCCCAAATTCTGGCGCTTCAACTCCGACCTTTTCACAATCACTTTTTCACCCAAATACTTCACCTCGACCTCGTCGCTCTGGAGAGTCTTCTTGAACCATGTCTTCCCTGGCAAACGCACCACCTTCACAATGCCATCAGTTGGGATAGAAGGATTGGAGCCGGTGAAGAGGACCCGCTCTGCGAGTTCAAACTCCTTGCTGCGACACTTGCCATGGTAGCGCATTGCATTGGGATACTCTGAGCCAAGGTCAGTGGGCGCCTTCATCTGAAAGAGCTTCAAGGGATCCTCAGAAAAGGCATTGTGGAACTTGAATTTCGCGCCTTTGATGGCCTTGTAGATTTTGGACTTTTCAAAGTGCTCCGGATCCTGCTGAGCATCTTCTTCGAACATCTTGCCTGTATCCTCGAGTTCCTGCACGGTCATATTGATCTTCTTCTCGGCTCCTCGAAAGTCGGCTGCAACAACTTGGAATTTATCTGGCATCTCATCACCAGGGCAACTCCAGCTGCATTTGTGCAGCCCTGTCTCATCGAGCTCATAGCTCAAATCTCCTGCGCGAAGGACCTTGCCACATTTACCCAGCTTCATAGCATCAAGACCTTTCTCCGCCACAGCAGCACCATGCTTCAAGACAGTTGCACTCCCAACGAGGCGAAGTAGTTGGGCAAAGGCCTTCATGTCTTTCCCTTTTGCCTTCTGCAGCAGATCTTGAAATTCGGGGTGGTCTTTGTGAATCAGGTCTGGTCCAGCGGCCTTCAGTTGTTCCACACATTCCTTCAGCTGGTCAGCTTCCGGCTGTCCAAACTTGCTTCCAAAGAGGAAGTATCCCAACTTCTCGCGGTTGATCATTTCCTTTGAGCCCATGAAGGCACGGAAGTCTTCGGAAGTGGCTGCCGACAGATCCAGCAAACTGTGGAAACCTGTAGGCCTCCTTGCTTGGGTCACCGAGTCCCCCATAGACTGCTGCTGCGGCGATTCCAAGTCCATAGACTGCTGCTGGGGCGATTCCAAGTAGCTAGAGTAATATACATCATCATCAATGTCATTGTTAATGTGACAACAACAAATGCAGCATATGCACAAAAGGTGGAGCAAACATTCTTCTTGATCTCCACGGGTTGTTGAATCTGCCAGCTCTTCATATGCGCCACGCAGGGTCTCGGCAAACTGAGAGCTCACGCCAAAGGTTTTCTCCAAGTCAACATTCTCTTTCACCATCTGGGCAATGGAAGCGGTAGACATGTCCACCTCGCCACTCAAAAGGCCGGCGCTGGCGGTGTCCACAGCAATGCGCGGCATTTTGTGAAAGGGTTTTGAAGACGAATCGAAACTTCCCGCAGGGCGGGGGTAAGCGAACGAAAGCAACGGATAGCCCGAGTATTGACTGAGCCGAATGGGAAGCAAAAAATGCGCAATACATCGCAATCTTCCTGGGGCCTTGAAGATTCTCTGTCGAAACTCGAGATGTGTTTCGGTGGATGAAAATGATTGAGCATGAGGTTTGTGACCCGCAAGCAACGATCCACGTCAATAGATTACCATAATTCACCATATATCATAGATCACTATAGATCACGTTTTGCCAAGCGGTGACAGGTTTCGCAGCAACAATCAATACCTTTTCATACCTTATCTGTGCCAAGCAACACAATTTGGATGTCGAACTCGTCGCCAGAGGCGCCAAGAAACAAGATTTGGATGGGAGTTCAACAAGATCCAAAAAGAGAAATATATATATGTATGTATATATATATATATGAAACAAATGTATGTATGTATGTATGTATGTATGTATGTATGGATGGATGGATGGGTGGGTGGATGGATGGATGGATGTATGTATGTATGTATATGTATGTATATGTATGTATATGTATGTATATGTATGTGTATGTATATATATATATGTATATATGTATATATGTATATATGTATATATGTATATATGTATATATGTATATATGGGGTTGCATCAAAATTCGAGTATGGATCCGCCCGCGGTGCCTGCGTTTTAGTATGGAGCAGGGGTATGGATCGGCCTGTGGGTTCAGGGTATGCATCAGGGCTTTACATTTTGACTCGCAGCCATATATAAATATATATATATGTATATATGTATATGTATATGACTGGGACGAAACAGGTCCACCTTGATTGCTGTTCAGTACTGAGTGGTTTGCATTCGATTCCTCTGTGGTTGTGATGTAACATCAAATATCCGCCGATCCCGGCCTTCGCCAAGGCAGGGGCGGCGCCTGGGACCACCGCAGGTGTGGAACTTGTCTTTCTTAGCAACAGGCATCCCAAGGCCACATCAATGGCTTCTTATGGGCGTCCAAGCCTGCCGTTTGCCAGGCCTTAAACGCTTAAAAGGCTTCAAACCGTTACAACTTGTCTTTCTTAGCAACAGGCATCCCAAGGCCGTGCACATCAATGGCTTCTTATGGGCGTCCAAGCGTGCCGTTGCCAGGCCTTAAACGCTTCAAAGGCTTCAAACCGTTACAACTCACCCGCATCACTTAGGGCAACACCAAACGCATCACTTCAGGCAACATGCAGAAATCACACACTCGTCACACTTTGGACGCTCACTGTGGGCAACACGGATTTCATCACTTTGGGCAACACGGAAAACATCCTTCTTATCATCATTACTTGACTCAGCCATTTAGGGTTTGGTTGGGGGGAGGTGTCATTCTACTTACATCATTACTTGACTCAGCCATTTAGGGTTTGCTTGGGGGGAGGGGTCATTCTACTTAATGTTGGCTGCCTAATAATAAATACCCCCCCTTTTTTTTTAGTAGGGGGGGGGTCAACTTTCCTATAATAATCTATTTGTGGGAATCTATAGCTGGGATCTATAATCTGATAGATTCTCCATGGTTTTGTTGGGTTTCTGTTAGATTCTGCATAGGGTTTGGTTAGATTTCTGAGATGTTCTGCATAGGTTCTGCATGGATTAGGGTTGGTTTCTGTTAGATTCTGTATGGATTTGGTTTAGTTTCTGATGGAATCTGCATGGATTCTGCATGGGGCAGTGTTGCTTTCTGTAAGAATCTGCATAGGAAGATATGGCTTGTAGCACTCTGGCTCTGGCTCTGTCTTCTGCCTGCCTCTGTATCGACCTCTGTCTGATCGGCCTGCCAGGCTACTCTGCTGAGTCTGCTGCCTCTGCTGGGTCTGACATGTACAACCCAGACGTCCAGAGCAGAGTTCTGACAAGATCTGCCATGAATCTGCAGAAAGAGCTGACCCAGTATCGAAGTGGGAATTATGGCAGAGGGTATGTTCACTCCTCTGGTGAATGTACCTATGCTGTTCTGAAGAGCAGGATCAGATGGGAGTTGCTTGGATGCATTGGTTTCTGGTGGGAAGCTCTTGGATAATTATGGGGTTGTTTTCTGTGTTTTTTAATACTACATGGATTCCTGGGATTGCTGAGGCTGGAATCCTATCTGGTCTATCTGGGTGCTGGTGGCCCAGCTCTTCTGTGGAAGTGGGTCTGTTGGTTTGCGTGGATGCAAACTGCTGCTGAATGGCTCTATGATGCCATTGAAAGCAGCACCAGCAGCCTGAATCTGGCAGCTGTTCTGCGCAACCTGAAGGTGGTCTGGACTGAGTTTCCTGGCTGGGGGATGGTGTTATGTAATTATGGTTTTTTTTGAGATTCTGATGAATTTTGTTGAAGTTCTGATGGATTCTGCACAGGTTTTGTTGAGATTCTGATTGTTTTTTGTTGAAGTTCTGATGGGTTCTGCATAGGTATTGTTGGGATTTTGATGGATTTTTGATGAATTTTTATTGGATTCTCTATGGTTTTGTTGAGATTCTGATAGGTTTTTGTTGAAGTTCTGATGGATCTTGCATAGGTATTGTTGAGATTCTGATGGGTTATGTATGGATTTTGGTGGAAATCTGATGGGGCCTGCATGGATTTGATGAAATCTCTGGAAGTTCCTGCATTGTTTTGTTTGGTTTTCTGATGTGTTCTGCATGGATCTACTTGTATATCTGGCAGGGTGTTCTGATATGTTTCTGATAGATTATCCAATGTCTCTGTGGTCACACTAAGGGTGATCTGCTTCACTGCCTCTGAAGTCTCTGTGAACCCGATGGAGGTGACTCTGCCAGAGCCTCTGGCTCAGTGGGAGCTCTGGATCAAAAGCTGCTACTTGACTTATATGATATATGTTATAATATATAATATAATTTATATATTCATATGATATTTCATATTTGATATATATATATATGTATATATATATATATACACATATAGCTATATATATATTTACACACATAGATATATTATATATATATTTATTTATTTATTTACATATTATATATATAATTACATAGAATATATATATATATTATCTCTATGTTTTTTGGACTATTTTTAAAATATAACTCATGTGGCTTCTGCCCAGGCTACAAGGAGACTCTGGTCCACATGACCTACATTCTGGAGCTGGCTGAAGCACATGGTCGAGATTCTGTTGCTCTGGTGGCTGAGGCCTGGTATGCTTTGGTTCAAAGATTTTGCATGGATTGTGTGGAGATTCTGATGGATTTTTTTGCTGAAGTTCTGATGAATTCTGCATAGGTATTACAGTATTGAGATTCTGATGGATTGTGCATATGTTTTGTTGAGATTCTGATGGGTTCTGCATATGTTTTGTTGAGATTCTGATGGGTTCTGCATGGGTTCATTTTCAAATCTGATGGGTTATGTATGGAATTGTCTTGGTAATTCTGATGGGTTTTATTTGTATTATCATAGACTTTTGTTGGATTCTGCACTGCCCTGTGTCTTCATGGAAGGTGGAATGGCCTTCTGAAGACATGAAGCCCAGGCCCTTGTCTTATGAGGCCAAGGCAGCCATGAGGAGCAGGAGGGAGTCTCTCATGTGAGGCTCTGATCCCAGGCTCTGATGTTCTGCTTTGCTGATCTGGTAAAGGAGTCTAGGTTTTCTTTAGTGTCTGAATGGTTTTCTCATATGGTTCTGTGATGTTTTCTGATTTCTAAATGTATTCTGTTGGGTTTTGATTGTGTTGTGGTTGGTTTTCATGGGGTTCTGTGACTGGAATGTTTGTGAGATGGTTTTCTGTTGCCCAGGATCTGGCTGCAGCACTGAGCTATGCTGCTGGGCTTCTCAGCCTCTGAGCCTCTGGTCTGTTCTGCTTTGCTGGTCTGGTAAGGGAGCCTTGGCTTTCTTTAGTGTCTGAATGGTCTTCTCATATGGTCCCGTGATGTTTTCTGATTTCTAAATGTATTCTGCTGGGTTCTGATTGTGTTGTGGTTGGTTTTCATGGGGTTCTGTGACTGGAATGTTTGTGAGATGGTTTTCTGTTGACCCCAGGATCTGGCTGCAGGACTGCACTATGCTGCTGGGCTTCTGCCTGAGCCTCTGAACAGCTGCTCTGAGCCTCTGTGCAAATACTTTTGGGATTCTGAGTAGATCAGTTTAAGTAATTACAATTTAGTTGAATTAGTGATTAATGCCACCATTCACCTGCTAATTAGTAATGATAACATATCTGTGTTGTTCTGATCATCTGAAATTGATCTGCTTGGATGATTTTGACAACCGATGCTGCCATATAGGGTGCATGCCATTGGATCTGTGATATATTAGTAACCAATTAGTTAACAAGTAAATACATATATATATATGTACATAACTAGACTTACTTGACTTCAGAAGTGATTTCTGATCCAAATGGCTGTCATTCTGTGTATCTCTGCTGTGCCTCTGTGGCCTTTCTGGTGCTGATCGATCTGACTGCCTGGCAAGCATCTGTGGCTGCAAAAGCTTCTGCATGGATTCTGCACCTTGGGGGTGTGGTTTCTGATAAGTTTCTGTCACCAGTTTGTCAAATTTCTGGTTCAACCTGGTTGTATTCAAAAGAATGGTTCTCATGGATTTTGATGTTATTCAGACAGGTTTCTGAAAGGTTTGGCATGGATTCTGCATGTTGCAGGTGTGGCTTCTGATAGGTCTCTCTCTGTGATTCCTTTTCTGTATGCAACAGAATTGTTTTTGAACAATTCTAAGTAATTGTCATGTTTTCTGATTGGGTTCTGTCAAAGATTCTGCATGGATTGCATGTCTGAAGAAGTTCTGCTTGGACTTAGTTGGATTCTGATAGCTCTGTGTGTGTTCAAGGACACTTTGCAATGTTTTTTCAATTAGATAGACATCTGAATCAGTAGGAACTCTGCATTGTCACTATCTGTTGCCAAGAAGCTTTCACTCTGTGGCATTTTGCCACTTTTCACCCTGTGGCATTTTGCCATGGCATCTGATGCTGTTCTGGTAGCAGCTGATTCTGGCAGTTCTGATGCTGCTGCTGCTGGTACTTCTGAGGGATCTGCTTGTGTCTTTGGCTGTATAGTCTTGGCTGTATTGTCTTGTCTTCTGATGGGGTTTGCATAGATTTTGTTGAGATTCTCATGGGTTCTGCATAGGTTTTGTTGAGATTCTGATGGATTCTGGACAGATTTTGTTGAGATTCTGATGGATTCTGCATGGGTTTTGTTGGGATTATGATGGATTCAGCATAGGTTTTGTTGAGATTCTCATGGATTCTGGACAGATTTGGTTGAGATTCTGATGGATTCTGCATGGGTTTTGTTGAGATTATGATGGATTCAGCAAAGGTTTTGTTGAGATTCTGGTGGATTCTGGACAGATTTTGTTGAGATTCTGATGGATTCTGCATGGGTTTTGTTGAGACTATGGTGGATTCAGCATAGGTTTTGTTGAGATTCTGGTGGATTTTGCATAGGTTTTGTTGAGATTCTGATGGATTTTGGACAGATTTTGTTGAGATTCTGGTGGATTCTGCATGGGTTTTGTTGAGATTATGATGGATTCAGCATAGGTTTTGTTGAGATTCTGATGGATTCTGGGCAGATTTT